CAGTAATTGTCTGAACGTGAACACGTCTACATTTTGTGTAAGAGTAACACAATCTAGCCAACCACTAAACTCCGAATACTATATATTAAGAGTTGAGTTCTTTTGACAGTAAAATGTGGTTTTACGAAGTTAACAGATCGAGTACTATATCGGAATCTTTTTTTTCGATTTATTTTTGTTTTTATCTTGAAAGTCACAAACTGAAGTCATACATTTAGGAACTTTACTGACTTCGTTAAAACTAGGCCTCACTTCCAAATGTATAATCTTGAAAACTTGTTTTAAAATGTTATAGGTATTGAAATGACATAACAGTGTCCAAAATGGTGGACATAATATTTTGATTCTATAACTGTTTAACTGCCAGGGGATTCGATGGGCTACAGAGTGGTGTCACGATTCCAAGTATTAACCCGAACGGTATTATTCGACACTTGGCTTAAATGGCCAGATCATAAATGAAAAGATTAAGACATGGACATCCCTAATTTTGGACACTCTTATAACGTCTCCACAGTCGAAATTACAGATCATGTTCACTGGTTTATTGTGGGCTCGAACCTTGAATCTTCCGATCCGCAACTCGGCAAGCCAACCATTAGGCCAAGCGGGTATCTTTTACTTTCTTATAACATACACATTATATTTTTGTGTCATAACCATAAAACTGATGAATATAAAAAAGAACAAGAACGATAACTCACGCGCTCACGTGCTGCAGAATACATCATTTACTAAGTTAATAAAAGACTAAATGATGGTTACATAAACATGGATATTATGTATTCACAAGTGGGCAACAAATTTGGAACGGAAACTTGTTTTATGTTTTACAAAAACAAACAAAAAACAATGTTGTTTCGGATTTATTGTTTTAGCGCACAATGAACTATTTGGCCCCTTACCACTGCAGCAATCAAACCCCGGATTTTAGCATTATAAGTTTAAAACTTACCGCTGACCCACCGGAGGGACTTTATTGTTTCAGTGAGCGAACATGTAGTTATCGTTATTAGTTCATTAACCTCTCACCAGGGTTCACAAATTAAACAGGCTTTTTTTTTCCCCCACCATATAATAAGATTTTTGTTAAACCTTTGTTGTCTAATAATGACGTGAGTGTTTGAAAAAAGTGTTAACAACAATGAAATATATCGATTGATATCATGCATAAAACCTGATTATTTCTGGAATTAGCGAAAGGCCTCGTCGGCAGCAGCACAAAAAGATGTGCAGTTGAAACGCTAGTATATATATCTCACTTGGAAACCACAATTATCGATCAAAGAATGAGATACGAATACAACAATAACAACCTTGATAACTGTTCACACATCAGTCTGATTGTGATTTATCAAACCACAATTATCGATCAAAGAATGAGATACGAATACAACAATAACAACCTTGATAACTGTTCACACATCAGTCTGATTGTGATTTATCAAACCACAATTATCGATCAAAGAATGAGATATCTTTTTTTTTTTATCCCGTACGAATACAACAATAACAACCTTGATAACTGTTCACACATCAGTCTGATTGTGATTTATCAAACCACAATTATCGATCAAAGAATGAGATACGAATACAACAATAACAACCTTGATAACTGTTCACACATATATTTCTTTAAGGGCCCTAAGAGAATCCTAGTTTTTAATCGTTGGTTTTCTACCGCAAAGCTACACACCACATAGATTTGTCCACCGCGGTGGAATCGAACCCCGGATGTTAGCAATGTGTTTTGTTCGTTTTTAAAGAGCAAAGCTACCGCGGGGAATCGAACCCCGTATTTTAGTGTTGTAAGTACGTAGACGCAGTACTTCTCTTCAACTAGGGGACTAGCATTATGAGTCCGGAAACTTTTGTTGCGCTCGCCATCCCTGATTATTAAGTGACAGAGTAAAAAGGAAGGCAGCTAATCCACACTACCGACCGCTACTCTGTTAGATTGAAGATTGTAACGCATCCAATCCATCAAAGCTCGATTTTTGGGGAGGAAGGGCGAACCATAGACCTCAGATCCACAGTCCGTCACGATGGGCCACGCTAGGCCTTATTGGAGTATAATGTAGCTCAAATCACCGATCTATAGTTAATTGTATAGTTAACAGTACTGACTTTTCTAGCCCTAAGTCTTGTAGTGATAAGCAACTTGCAAGACAAACAAACATATAACACAGAGCAAACAGCCTCTAATGTCCATAACAAATTTTGATTGAAATACAGCGAATTATGAATACACCTAAAGAACACCTCAAATTTGCCCAAAGTACTGTTCACGTTGTCGCGGCATATCGGGCATATTTTAGAATAATATTATTTTTTCGTAGTAACAAGTACCAGCGTATTTCCAGTTAAACGTCGTGTTTAAAAATATGCATTTTCACTCATCTGTGGATGTGTGTGTGTTTATCGATAATGTTTTGTCAGTATCAAAGAACAACCTTAGTCTAGTAATCTTTTTATAACAATTGGCTGGATAAATAGGTCTCTGTCATATAGATTTACCCTAGCAACAGTTGTCACAACATATGTGTGTAGAGGTAAGCACGTGTAGCTATAGGCAACACCCCCTCACGTGCTACGACAATATGTTAAACATTGTACCCCTCCGCCACAAATTAGTTGTAACAATTTGGTTAATTCCTTCTCAATTAACATTTAAAAATGCTAGAATTAATCATTGTAGTATTTTTTTATCTTCTTGAAGTATTTATGAGGGTGTAGATTTGAAAACCTAAGGAACTTTATTCTATCACTTAACCGCTCGTTTCACTCCGCCGTGTAGCACTCTTCCTTGTCGTGCGCGCATAGGCGTATCGTTTGGTACGAATACGTGCGGGAAGAGGAATGAAATGGAGAACGTTTATAAGCGGTATACAAACAACCTAAGGTAACATCTTCAGGAGCTTAAAAAATAACCCGTCTTTATTTGTGAAACACTTGTGATCCTACCAGCCTGTTCTGTGTCATGTATATACATGATGGTAGCCAGTGATGGCGTCAAATCCAGACCTCGTGAACCACCTCAGGGACGTCTTCGATGTGTGTGACGATGAAAACCTGGGTTATATTAGTCTTGAAAAACTAAAAGAACTCGGATACAAGTACTTTGGAGGAAATGAGGAGGTAAAATAAACCTAAAAAAAATGTAGAACTATACGAATAGTGTTAAAAAATTCGAAGTTTGATTTGTTTGAAAGACGTAGTATCACATATATTTTGTGTTGAATTCTCTCAACAAATATGTGTTTGTAATATATGTTTTTAAAGTTAATTAAGTTAGTGTTAGGCTGAAATGTGAGTTTACTGACAGTTGAATTATCTTGATAAATATTTCGATAACTATATGTTCCAGATTGAAGAATCATGTTTTTTATGTTGTGGTAAAATACATTTTTTTTTATAAAATTCAAACATTACTGTAGTCTAATAAATCTTGTTTTTAACTTCTGTAACATTTTCTGTAACTAATAAATGCACGTGATAATAAATAATTTGAGCTAATGTTCAAGTTAAAACAAAAATGAGGATCTAATATGCAACTCGTATATTTTGGCATCACTCTTTCCGCGTTATTTTTTTTCCTAATAACATCCGATGCTTCGAATTTAATAGCTTTTTTTTTTTTTTTACTGTCCAAGCTGGTTTGAATTTTCTGTTCTCCTCAGTAAGGAAATTACAATAACGTAAAAAGTATCCTATTCCAGCGTAATATGGTCACTGAAAGTAAAAACATTTGTATGTATATTTCATTATCCAATCATTCAGGATGTTGCCCCACAGTAACTCTGTCATTCCATCAATATTACCCTTTCAGTTTCACATAAAAAAACATCACGTTGATGCTGTAATTTTCACACAATATCCGTGCTCTGGACCTAAAAGAACCATTTACTGTAACGAATTAGTTGGTCAGGTTGAACACGTAAGGTTCAGATAATAATGGTGTGTTACAATCACCTGTGGGAATGAAGTATAACATCCGGTAGTGACAGTGCTCCCCCGTTTATAAGGGGGAGGAGCATGTAAGGATGCGAGGTTCGGATAATTGGTGTCTTAACATCTTTCAAATGCCAAAGCTGATTAGAATGTGAACCCCTACCTATCATCCATAACCAATTGTTAAACCTTAATAATTTATAAATAACTGGTTACAAGATGTAGAAAATTGGTAAACTAAATAAAAATGAAATATTTCTTGTTTGTTTTGTTTTTAAACACAATACACGCACGTATATGCAGAGAGGGTTCGGCCGAATCCCCTGTTTTTGTGATGTAAAATATAATTATGTTTATATAATTATAGCGCAGTTGCTTTTGGTAGTTGACGTTTTCTACGTAGTCTTCAGACGAAGAATCAATACTCTTTGTCTTGAAACAGTCCTATGCCCCCAGACCCCCCCCCCCCTCGTAATATTTTAGCACAATATGTGTTGGCTTTTGATCTCACAAATTAGAAACCCCCCCCCCTTTCAAACATTCTCCATACGGGCCTGCAATAGGTTATCTGTGCTCGGAACCCGTCTTTTAGCGTTGTAAGTCCTCGGACTTACCAGTGATCCTGGGGGACACTATGAACCCGTCTTTTAGCGTTGTAAGTCCTCAGACTTACCAGTGATCCTATGAAACATTTGTATGATTTATAAAGAAATTTTATCGGTTTTGTGGAAGTTCCATTTCTACATTGTAAACGGAAACCATTATTATTTCACCATCTACAACCCTAAACCCTCATCTAGATATTTAAAACATGTTTTAATAAACTAACATTACTGTGTTAATAAATAAACTATTCAGAGGTAAGGTTGCAGACTTACAGTGTTAAAATACGGGGGCTCAGTTCCCCCGCGGTGGACAGAGTACAGATAGCCCACTGGGTAGGTTTGCACTAAGAAAACAACAGCAAGACAAAGAGAAGTAAAATTCTCTATTTTGAAGTGATAGATAAATATAAAAAGACGTGCACTGTGGATCTTAACGGTGTGTTTAACAAGTAGAAGTGGTTATGTGCCTTAAACAAACCTATTCGGTCTACTTCTAGATATCACATGCACAATTATAGCGTTTAACTTACAAGAACAAAAAGGTTTGTTAACCATCCACTACGCACCAAACATGCTCGCCCTTTCAGCCGTGGGGGCGTTATAATGTGACGGTCAATCCC